ACACAGCACCCTTCTAATAAAGCACGTAGCAGAGTAAGGGAAAATTGCTACGGTGGACAAAAACAAAAAAAAGTACAGACCGAGTGGTAAATTTGGGTGAAAGAGGAAACATCACACAAATCTGAAAACCATAAAAGTGTCGCTTTCAATTGCTAACCCAACTACAGGCGACAATCGAAGCCAACAAGTGAAATTGAAACGTTCAATGGATAGTGCGGAGTCCTGAAAGGATGTATGTGGGCGGAGGGACATGGAAAGGAAACAGGATGGATGAGGGTGCTCTAGAAGCTCACAGCACAAATTGATGATGATGTAGTGTGTGTGCCTGCAACTGTGTGGCAGGATGCTCAGCGAGATTTTTTATGCACCCTGACATGGGTTTTGCGAATTTATAGAGCGGGTTCGGTGCTACAAAAATTATTTACAGATTTAGCATTTATAAATACACTTTTCCCAACTTATTTCTGCAAAAAAGGTGCGAATAAAATTATAATAGAATTATTCAAACAGGTTTTTACCTTTGAGAGAGTACCGGAAGTCGCCAGTGATTTGTATTTCAATACTTTATTACTTTCTCTGCTGCACTGAGAATGATGCCAGCGATGATTGACACCACGCCCGGCAATAAATTTTTAATTTTCAATGCTTCGCGATAGACGGCGGGTGTGATGGGATCCATGGCCACATCCTTGCCTCCAGTGAGCTTGTTAAATTCAAATTAGAACGCTGCCAGGAGCTGCGCTCTATGTGAGAACTTGCCGCTGACAGCGAAGATAAATGACACAGAACTGCGATCGCAACAAATTAACCTTGTTAGAGGCTGCAGCACAGGCACAGGGCTCCTCCGGACCAGGACATAACTCCGGAGTAGTGGTGGAGCGGCAAGGACTCCGGCCCGAGGACACCAGTTACAAGTGTATGTAATTTTTTATCGTCTGCGACTTTCGACTCCACTCTCCCGCTGACGACGACTGACTTATGAATGGCGTGTGCCAAGTTGAGTTGAGACAAAGCACTGGAAAAAAAATATAGCTTACATGTTGAATATGATAAAATTTAGAAAACTAAATACACAAATATTCGAATAAAACATAGTCAATTTCGTGGCTGCCTTAGCTAGATTTATATGATTTCAATAATGGAAAAGATGCCTTAAATATTAATTGTGAAATTGAACGAACATTGCAGCAATATTAAGCTATGCATATATTTGTTGAAGTGTTTTGAATGCGTTGCTACTGCCAGTGCTTGGGAGTCGATAAATCAGTTTGTGTATCAAATTGAATTCACGAGCGTGCACATGACACCAGCCCACGCACATTTATCAGCCGATTCGGGCGAATCCTGCGGAGCATGAACTTTAATTCGGGGCGGCCTGGGCAACCGCAAAATTTTAATCTCAACTAAGAGCTCAACAAGAAAATAAAATCCATCGGCGGGCTGCATTATAAATTATTCATTACGAAAACGCAACCGCGACACGCCCACTTTTTTTCGAGCCAAGTAAATGAACGCCTGCCGCCGACGGGCGCTCGTTTGCACCTAATTTGATTTTTAGTTGCCTGCTTCTTTGGTGGCGAGTCTGCGGTCGGTTCGCTTGGCATTCCATCCTCAGCTGGTTGTGCCCCAGCCATGTAGCCATGTAGCATTCGGGGTACCGTCTCGCAGATCCTAACTCACAAATACAAGCACACTCACACACAGACACACACACGAGGAAGGACTTGGCAGCGCATCCTGTTTTCTTTTCATTCATTCCAGCGCGGCTGGCTGTCGAAAAAATGTCTGTTATGTGGCTAGAGAATTTTGCAGTAATTAATGGCAACTGTTTGATTAAAAAATTCCACAGCTGCTGCTCCCTTGCAGGGATGTGTACGGGTTTAGTTCTAGTTTTTCCAACCCCAAGCCGTTTTCCATCACCAAACGCGGTCAAAAGCTGCGATGCTGAATAAATCTATGCAAATTCCTGAGATTTCTTAAAGGGGTTTTTCGAGCTCTACTAATGTGGAATAAAATATTAGGTACAAATTTATGAAATTAACAAAATAAAAACACTTGAGTTATTCGTAAAAATGTGGATTTAGTTGTTTACACATCTCGAAGCCACACTACGACATCATGGGCAATCCGGTGAACGTGTCCTCCATGAGCATGGACTCCACCGGGGTGCCCTGCTAGATCCCAGTCACCGAGATCGCGGCGCTGAAGCTACAACATCCAGTGCAACTACCGTGGCATTTCCTTTGTCAAGCGGCGTGGCAACATACCCACCTACATCATCGGCACCGACAGCGAATACCAGTTCCTGCCACATCGCCCGCCCGCGGCAACCAAAGAGACTAGCTGGAATTTACCAGAGCTTAGATCTAAGGCATGAATTAGGCTTAGGGCCAGAAATGCAAATAAAAGCTGTAAAATTATCTAAACTTGTTTTAAGTGTTTTTTTCGGAATTATTGGGTTGAAAATAGGGTGGGAAATAAGAGTTTTTCCGTTTCGCAGTACCAGGCGAACAGAAACTCTCGGAGGTGACCCAACGATCAAATATATAGATATTTCCAGCACCCTTGTGCTACAGATTATGATCGCCTGGTGCCACAAATCTGGAAATTTGCCGTAATTCGAACTAAATTTAGGTCAAAATTTCAATTTTTAACTAAAAATAGGGTGGCAAATGGGAGTTTTTCCGTTTTGCAGTACCAGGCGAACAGAAACTGTCGGAGGTGACCCAACGATCAGATGTTTCCAACATCCTTGTGCTACAGATTATGATCGCCTGGTGCCACGATCACAAAATTTGAAGGAATTCGAACTAAATTTGGGTCAAAAGTCCAATTTTTGGCTAAAAATAGGGTGGCAAATGAGAGTTTTTCCGTTTTGCAGTACCAGGCGAACAGAAACTGTCGGAGGTAACCCAACGATAAAATATATAGATATTTCCAGCATCCTTGTGCTACAGATGATGATCGCCTGGTGCCACACATCGGGAAATTCGCCGCAAAATGCTTAGTTGTGGCAAATTTGGTCGGGCAAATTGGGAGATTTTGGATTCAAGTACCAGGCGAACAGAAATCGCAGAAAGTGACCAACGATTCCCAGCCTGCTAACGATTATGTTCCGCTGGTGTTAGACATAACATAATCCACATAATCCACATAATCCGCAGCTGAGGCCAATTTGGTTGACCAAATAGAAGAAATTTCGATTCTTGATACCAGGCGAACAGAAATCGCAGCAGGTGGCTGGTCAAAATAATTTGTGAATTTAGTAATTCATTGCATACTTTTGGGCAGACGCTATCAAATTACGTTAAAAATTGGTGTATACTTTTGGGCTGCGTATGGTAATTTGATAAAGTACCAGTGTGACCATAGTTTCGACCGTTTTCGCCCAGCTCAAAAGTATGCAACATATTTGGCGACACTTTAAATATGTTGAGCCCAAAAGTATGCTGCAATAAGAAAATATTTCCAAATTTTAATTTTTGGCTAAAAATAGGGTGGCAAATGAGAGTTTTTCCGTTTTGCAGTACCAGGCGAACAGAAAGTGTCGGAGGTAACCCAACGATCAAATATATAGATATTTCCAGCATCCTTGTGCTACAGATTATGATCGCCTGGTGCCACAAATCTGGAAATTTGCCGTAATTCGAACTAAATTTAGGACAAAATTTCAATTTTTAACTAAAAATAGGGTGGCAAATGACAGTTTTCCGTTTTGCAGTACCAGGCGTACAGAAACTGTCGGAGGTAACCCAACGATCAAATATATAGATATTTCCAGCATCCTTGTGCTACAGATTATGATCGCCTGGTGCCACAAATCTGGAAATTTTCCGTAATTCGAACTAAATTTGGATCCAAATTTTAATTTTTGGCTAAAAATAGGGTGGCATGGGTGGGTTTTTCCGTTTTGCAGTACCAGGCGAACAGAAACTGTCGGAGGTAACCCAACGATCAAATATATAGATATTTCCAGCATCCTTTTGCTACAGATTATGATCGCCTGGTGCCACAAATCTGGAAATTTGCCGTAATTCGAACTAAATTTGGGTCCAAATTTTAATTTTTGGCTAAAAATAGGGTGGCAAATGAGAGTTTTTCCGTTTTGCAGTACCAGGCGAACAGAAACCGTCGGAGGTAACCCAACGATCAAATATATAGATATTTCCAGCATCCTTGTGCTACAGATTATGATCGCCTGGTGCCACAAATCTGGAAATTTGCCGTAATTCGAACTAAATTTAGGTCAAACTTTCAATTTTTAACTAAAAATAGGGTGGCAAATGAGAGTTTTTCCGTTATGCAGTACCAGGCGAACAGAAACTGTCGAACTAAATTTGGAAACATATTTTCTTGTAGCCCTATAATTCCCAACTAGTTCTAGTGAAGACTGTAAGGCATGTCTTCTAATTTAGAGTCACAAAATATCGAGCAGTGAGTGTAGTGTATGTGTAGCGTATGTGTCCGTAAGTGTGATTACTTGCAAGATCACATTGGCATCCCTTTTGATAAAAATTTCCATTTTTGGCTAAAAATAAGGTGACAAATTGAAATTTTTCCGTTTTGCAGTACCAGGCGAACAGAAACTGTCGTAGGTGACCCAACGATCAGATGTTTCCAACATCCTTGTGCTACAATTATGATCGCCTGGTGCCACACATCGGGAAATTCGCCGCAAAATGCTTAGTTGTGGCAAATTTGGTCGGGCAAATTGGGAGATTTTGGATTCAAGTACCAGGCGAACAGAAATCGCAGAAAGTGACCAACGATTCCCAGCCTGCTAACGATTATGTTCCGCTGGTGTTAGAAATCACGAAATTACCCACGAAATCCGCAGCTGAGGCCAATTTGTTTGACCAAATAGAATAAATTTCGATTCTTGATACCAGGCGAACAGAAATCGCAGCAGGTGGCTTGTCAAAATTATTTTTGAATTTAATAATTAAGTTGATAAAGCTAACTAGACTATAGTTCCCAGATTTCCTCGTACGCCTCAATAATGCTTTAGGAAAAAAAAAAGTTGTTTACATAACACATGAGATCAATGTCAATTGGGTTTAGTAGTTGGAAAATTTTAAATTTGCTTTGTTGATTGTAGTCTGCGGTATAATGTGCATTTGTACAACTCGCGTACTCCAAATCACTCTTTTGGCACTCATACATATTGCCGCAGTGAGTTAAATACACACTCGTTCATGTAAAATTACTGTAGTCACACTTTTTAAGGGATTTAATGGCGCGCAAATAGCAAAAGACATCACTTTGCTGGATAAACTGGTGGGTCACCATCATGTTATTCTTACTATAAGTTTAGCACTCTGTGTTATTATACTAGTTGTTCTCTTAGTTGCGATATTCGCTGCGATTCGTCAACATATATTGGCCTTAAACGTGGTGCGTGGCATTGAGTTAATTAATAAACGATTTTCTAAAATATTCAAGGAATTTTGTAGACTCTCATTTGCTTGATTTTGAAGTGTGTAGCAAAGGGTATTATTGTAATCGTGTGTACATTAACCGCAGAAACAACTATAGAAAATACTGCCGCCCATCTTTGGTTCATTCTGTGCTGGATTTTTACGGTAGGTAGATCATCAAATTGGATTAGTAATTAGCTACAACTTTTTTTTACTCAAAACAGGGTTGCTGTATGATCTTTAATCTATTCTTTTATATGCGGCTAACAGAGACTTCAAGGGAAGCTGCCTAATTCCTATAAAGAATATTGATTGTGGTAAGGACGGGTACACCTTATAAACTATGCAGAAAACTTGAAAAATGTTTCCCATAAATTTGTTTTAGTTCTTCAAACGGAAATATTGTCAAAAATACAAATATCCAAATTTGATCTTGAAAAATCTTCAGCAGGATGTGCTTTTGTCCCACACTTGCTCTCAAAATTATGCTTATGCTTATAATACCAATAACCGCAGTAAGTTGGATGCGCATTTCATTGAACAGCAAATTCTTTAATCATTTCGCAGGGAATTAATGGCGCACAAATAGCAAAAGATGTTTCTATATGGAATACATTAAAGGGATACCATTTTATTATGATCGTTATTAGCCTATCATTGTCCGCAGTCATACTGTCGACTCTAGTATTTCTAATATATGCGGCGATCTGTAATAGAATGCGAATTCTAAAAGTGGTCCGTTAGCATGAGGTTTCTTAAATCGTTAAGTTCAATATTTGATGTTATTTTCAGATGATCTTTGTCTTTGCAATAATCGTCGTGGTGAAACTGGTAATTCTGTTCGTGTGTATAAGCACGGAAACGGATACGGGTAAGACGGCAGCCCATCCCATGTTTATGGTATGCTGGTTCCTTACGGTATGCATACACTTCTCCAATTACTTTTATGTGTCTAAAAACAGCACTTTTGTCATCTGAATAGTTTCTATGTATGGCCGCTATTACTGTATACTGGCTTCGGCTATATGAACTGGCAAGCGAAGCCAATTAAACTGAATCTGCTGTATAGCATTGAAAAATACATATTCTTCCAAGTATTTTATTAAGCTTCATAGCTGTAGTACAATAATATCGAAAAATCGTATCACCTCTGCACGCGTTGTCATTGTGGTTAACTGTGATTAAAGCTAAGATCTTAAATATGTCGTATAGCCAACTGGATCAGAGCGAAACTGAAACGCAAGGGACACCTAAATTATGGTAGGTATCTCCTAAGTTGGGTTTTTAGCACTCTACATCTTGTCTCTAGTAAGTGGATGTGCCCTTTGACCCTGCCATTGGTGTTATTACAAAGAGCTCGCTGAATGCGCATCGTAGGAAAGTAAAAGAGTGGAATGGACATCGTATTGGTGTTTAAAGACATTGTATCGCTAATGGTTCACCGAATAAATTCTGTATTTAAAGCATTTATACCTGCGGAAGTAGTGTCATTTTAGGTCAACTTATTTTAGGTAATATAATTCATATTATTCGGATAAGTATGGTGGATAATCAGGAAACACGTGGCATTCCGACTTTATACGGCGGTGGGAAGTTGATCATCAGCAAAGTCATCACCTTCTGTGTGTGGGCAGTCAATTTCGTAGGTACTACCAACGAAGCTAAGAAAAAGCCACTACGACTGTGCACCCATCCACAGATTTTGACCTGTGCGGATATTTACATATACTACTTCATGCTGAAGGAATACATGGATTGCTGGAACTGTTTGTTCAGGTCCTACATGATTATCGCCCTAACCATAAATTTCCTAATGGTACCGCTGCTGATCTTGGGCGGGTTCTTCATATATCTGGAGTTAGCCAGCGCAATACGCATTGTAATTTTTTGTAAACTCTTTTGAAAAACACAGCGCTTGCCTAGATTGTATTTCACTTTTTCCAGTACGCAACAGTACTCTTTGTAGCAACTTGGTTGCAGATGATGCTGACTATACTGTTTGCGCAGCAGTACCAAACTGTAGCAGATGTGCTTCGAATTTGGATAAATGAGAAGAGTTTGGAGTTCTTCGAAAGCCGTGTAAGAGTCCCCCAAGAATATTACTTAAGTAAACTTATCCACTTGGTTTGTTAAAAGTGCCAGTGCTGCGGCGTTTTGGGACCTGACGACTACATTTTGGACGAGATGGATATTCCGCTGTCCTGCTACCAGGATCGCAGTGGACGGGAGGGGGACCTGTACCAATCCGGCTGCTCCACGCACTACATAAAGCCCTCGTTTCCCATCATCCAGGTGATCTCATTCGTAGTTCAGGTGAGTGATGACCGCGTGCTTAAAAAGCCAAGTGCTGAATGCCGATTTAGTATGTATTAGTCATATGCATTGAGGTATTCCTCATTTTACTGAAAAGGAGCAGGGGCGTATCGTCTCAGCAGCGCACCGAAATGTTTGGTAGTTTGAATACCTGACTTAAAGTTCCGTTCGGAGTTGGGAAGTAATCCTGAAGACCTTGAGGGCTACTTTCCAACATCGCATGGAACTTAAGCAGCTGATTTTCTTGGGGATTCGAGTTTCGGGCGCGGTTCACAATTCACATTGCCCTGGCAATGGGTATTGGCATTGTGGCGGGCGAGACAAATTGGATGCTGCTGGCTCTCGTCATGTTTCACGGACTGCAATCAATAACGATAAACACTTGAGTGGCAAATCCAATGTCCAGAATCCTGTTCAACGACGGCATGCATATGGATGAGCCAATAAAGAAATCAACAAAGCATGTCGGGCGATTGAAAAAGTATTGCAAATACCCCGGATTCGGATTCGGATTGGGATTCGGACACGGAATTGGACTCCAATCCGGACAATATGCAAATGCAGCTAAGCAGAAAATATTCAAGGACGATCCAGTGTCCCCCACCAAGCGCTCAAGTTTATATATTCATTTTGTGTCCCTCGCCTCGTCCCGCGCATAAATTTTATTGTTGTCAACATTAAATTCTAGTCGTGAAAAACAATTTTGCAGCATTTGAAAATCCATAAAATATGCATACGAAATTGTCCGCCGGAACGACCAACTTTATGGCTAAATAGTTTGCTCCGGCCCACATCGTTAATGCCTTTTTTATGCGTGTGTTTGGGTGTTGGGAAAACTTTTTAGCCGCCATAACAATAACGGCAGCAAAAGCAACCACACTTTTGGTCAAGCTGCTGAAATGCCCAGTGCAAAGTTCACAGATAGAAGGGTAGGGCTGCGAAGGCGAGTCGCAGGCCAAAGGGTCATGTGGCTCATTAAACTTTGGCCAACAATTTTTTGTTGCACCCCCCAACCGACAAAGACAAACAGAAAGTTTTGCACTAAATATTTGCGCCCTCGCAAAAAAATGAAAAGAGTTGCACTTGGTGAACAGAATGAAAAGGGTTTTTGAGGTGAGTGGCCATGGTTTCCAGGGACCTGGAATGGTTAGCACATATCTTAGCACACATACGGCCCATTAAACGCTAGACAAATGGAAGGCAGGAGCTAGAAAAAGGGCGAAAGTGTTACTTTAAATTGAGGCTACAAAATCGTTTTATATGGCCAGTTCTGAAGAATATATGATAACAAAATTCAATTCATGACGGACGCTTCGCACAAAGTTTAATCTTAAAATATTTTCTTACTTTTTGCCTTGCAAATAGAGACATTTTTATACATTACAACCATTCTTCCCTTAATGTAATTACAGTGAACTATGATTACTGAAAATTGAAGTTCCTGCTTGATTCAGTTATAAAGGGACTTTCTTTATTTCATATATCATAAATCAACAAAGTGTCAACAAAGGATGGCATGTCACGCCCTAGTATCCCCAGTGGGATCCGAATCCATCGAAGCTGGCGTGGGCAACCACGGCGGCGGGCGAGTACTTCACATAGGCGGCGGGAGCAGCGGCCACCAGAGGAGCAGGAGCGTGGTAAACTGGAGCAGGAGCGGAGTAGACAGTCTTGGCCAGAACTGGAGCTGGCGCGGAGTACACGGTCTTGGCCACAACTGGAGCAGGAGCGGAGTACACAGTCTTGGCCAGAACTGGAGCTGGCGCGGAGTACACAGTCTTGGCCAGAACTGGAGCGGGAGCAGCGTAGACGGGAGCAGGAGCGGAGTAGACAGTCTTGGCCACCGGAGCGGAGTACACAGTCTTGGCCACGACGGGAGCGGGAGCAGCATAGACGGGAGCAGGAGCGGAGTAGACAGTCTTGGCCACGACTGGAGCAGGAGCAGCGGTGTAGAAGGACTTGGTGATCACGGGAGCAGGTGCGGAGTACAGGGTCTTGGGGGTGTACACATTGTTGGTGGTGCGGGAGTCCACCTTGCTGACACTGGAGTACGGGGTGACCACGTTCTTGGAGTAGGTGGACACAGTGCCGCCGAAGGAGCGGACCACATTCTGCTGGGTGGTTCCCACGGCATCGTAGTGGGGCTGGGCCACCTTGGCCACCACGGGAATGGAGGCAGCGGCATAGGTGGTGGCCGGAGCCAGGAAGCCGGCACTTGCCACGCCCACCAGAGCGCAGAAGGACAACAGGACGTACTTGAATGCCATGGCTAGGATTGGTTTTGTAATTTGCAAATAATAATTGAAATTGAACACTTAAACTGATGTTTGTAGTGAGCTGCAGTGGCTACTGATGCTAAACCCTTGGCAAGCGACTGTTTTTATAGCCAAAACGCGCCAATAGCCAAAATGGCTTGCCAAATTTCACGGCCAACCCGCAAATTGCAAATTACGGTGTGTTCGTATGACAGACTGACTTAGGCCTAAGCTCGAAAAAAGAGCAAGAAACTGGTTCAATGGGTCGACAAATGACTGAGCTCTTTTCCCCGCCTCTTTCCGTGCTCCATCTCTGTCTTAATTGGAGGCCAGCTCAAGTGCCCCACACCCGAAATGTATCAGGAAAGTGAATTATTTTGAATACCCGTACTATCAGCAGCTCATAAATTTTCCAGCAACAGAGGAGGGAGCTAACTTTTATTTTCCCGCCGTGTTTTTCCATTAAATTGAGTTCCACTCGAGCAGCAAATATGAGGCAACCCCTCAATAAGGGGATGTTCCTCAGCTCCTTGTTGCTGTCAACTTTATCAGCAGGGGTGTCAGTGGTTCCTTCTTATTTTCGGAGTGGTGGCAGTCAGTTGTTTATGATTTTTGTTTGTTTTTATTCCACGGGGGAGCGCAGCAGTTTTGGTGCCCTTCCAGAAGGGAGATCACAAGTTGAAATTAATGATCGGCAGGCGGAAAGTTTAGCTGGTCATAGCAACATGTATATATTAGTATAAAGTTTGTATATGGATCTGCCATAAATATTATATTATTTATTAGTATATTACTGTTTATTGAACCACCTAAGCCATTGAGAGTAAATTATGCGCATAGAGCATCCAACACTTCGTTCTGTTGGCATTTGTACTCGCTTGATGTTTTCTTTTTGTTTTGGCCAAGTTTGGAAAATGAATTTTCCTGCTCTGCTGCTCACGGGCGCATGATGAATATTTATTGAAATTACCAAAGTTGACGCTACTCCAAATTGAATTGTGTTGCCAACTTGGGATGCTTCTTACTGCCACAAATTCTGCGCTCTTTTTCCTTCTTCTATTTGCGCATTTTTATTTTTGTTTTTTTTTGGCAAATTGTTATTAATTTTCCACTGGGGACCCTGTAGCCGTTTCTGCCCCACACCGAAACCTAATTACCGCGTTTAATGCATGCCTGTAAATTGGCTTTCAAGCGGTTACGCAGGTGAACTGCCATCGCATTGTGGGCAGTTCACATTACCAAAAATCACCAGAAAATCAACCAAAGACTTGCAGAAACTGGCACGCGTCCGATGCGTATAAAAGCCGCACCATTTTGGCCAAATCAGCATCAGTCGCAGCCCAGCCAGCCTGCTTTCGACTTCTTTTCGACGTGAGCAAACCGTCCAGTCATCCACGTACTTCCACTCCAACATGGCTTTCCGCTACCTCATCACTCTGTGCGCCCTGGTGGCCTGCGCCAATGCTGGTCTCTTGGCCAGCCATGTGGCCATTGCCAATCCGTCGGTGGACGCAGTCGCCTCCACTCAGCAGAATGTGGTGAGATCCTTTGCCGGCACTGTGTCCAGCTACTCGAAGGCGGTGGACACCCCGTACTCCAGTGTGCGGAAGAGCGACACCAGGATCCAGAACAATGTCTACACTCCTGCCATTAAGACAACCACTTATGGTGCAGCTCCTCTGTACACTCAGGCCACTCCCATCGTGTCCAAGACTCTGGTCCATGCTCCAGCGCCCGTTGTGGAGAAGACTGTGTACGCCGCTGCTCCAGCTCCAGTTCTGGCCAAGACTGTGTACTCTGCTCCAGCTCAGGTTTATGCTGCTCCTGCTCCCGTTGTGGCCAAGACCGTGTACTCCGCGCCTGCTCCAGTTCTGGCCAAGACTGTGTACTCCGCTCCTGCTCCAGTCTATGCTGCTCCTGCTCCAGTTGTGGCCAAGACTGTCTACTCCGCTCCTGCTCCAGTCTATGCTGCTCCTGCTCCAGTTCTGGCCAAGACTGTCTACTCCGCTCCGGCTCCAGTCTATGCTGCTCCCGCTCCAGTTGTGGCCAAGACCGTGTCCTATGCCGCCCCACTGGCCACCACCAATGTGAACCATGGACCCGCCGCCACCACCTACACCCACAATGCCCCAGCTCTGGGCGTCTCCAGCTATGGAAGCTCCCAGACGGTCCAGTATTCCCCCGCCGAGAGTGTGTCGCACATGAGCTTCGATGGATTCGGAACCCACTGGGGTTTCTAAGTAAGTCTTGGCCTTTGGGCTTAGGCAATTGTTAATGTTTGGTGGTCAATAAAGACGGAGATCGATTGTTGCAAATTAAACATGAGCCGAGTTAAGCAGACCTTCTGGGTGAACAATGGCCAAACTGGTTTCTGCCAATTCATCGTTAAGCGTTGGCCTTCTATGAGGTCTTACCTTAAGTGCGGAGGTGGTGGGCGTGGTGGTAAGTGGCTTTGTGATAAGCTGCGGGGGCGTGGCATGTCGTGTTTTATGGCTCTTTAATTGGATTTCATATTTTTCGCACACCCTTCCCCCAAAACCCAGCCTCTAGCCCAGTTGTGCACTTGTTATACTTATTGTCGGTTAATTAACGGATATTTATGCTCGCATAACCGCAGCTTCGCATAAATGGCTTACACGCTTGCCCCCGAAGCTTAAAATTGACATTTTGGCTCAGAGTGGCTGCGGATAGATGTGTGGTACATTAATGGGTTCCAGTTAAATGGGTTCAATTGGAGCCATTGACAGGCGGCCAAGAGGTAGAGTTTAAAGATCGAATGCGTGTTTTGACAGTGATATTTTGGCGGGATTGCTTGGCCAGCGATCGAGTTGCGTAATGAAGGGTAAGTCATAGAGAGAGTTAGGTAATGTACAAATAAGAGGGAAGGAAAGTTAAAGCGCAATTATTAATAATCATTGACATTGACTGCATGAACCTATGAACTTTATGGAAACTAAGGAAGTCATACTAAAGCGTTTCTTTGTGTGTGATTAAATGGATTGCTATGCTTCAAAAATCGCAAAGGGCTCCTAAAATATTTCTGCAAGACTGGGGAAAATGTGCAATTTAGTTGGCCCTGTTAAGACATGACACTAATGAGACATGCAATCGAGCTGATTAATTCCCCCAAGACCAATTGGCAGGCCAGACAAGAACAATCAAATTAAATGAAAACGTGTCCGAAAAGAGTAGAACGGGTGCCCTGTCTTGGAATTTTTGCCAGCCAAATTAGCTGCATTTGTTCTTGTACTCGGGCGGCGCTTTGATTTGTGATTTGATTGCGCATACGCCCCGTGCCCCGTGCCACATGCCACATGCCACATGCCAAAATGTGCCAGATTGTCCTCGTCTGAGTTGACAATTAGTCAATAATTTATTTCAATTTCATTTCGCATGCCAAGCACACTCACACTCACACACACACACGTACCTCCTGAAATGAAAATCTAACTGCACTTTAATTACATTTACATTTTGGCTTAAGATTGCCGCTTTAGTTTTTGCCACAAAAACGACACTGACAAGGGGCGAATTGCAGGGACCACCCTGCAATTGTTGCAATGCAATTTAGGTAAGCGAATTTTCATGATTTAAATAACAGCATTATGTGTGGCAGATTGTGTGTGTCTCTATGTGGCTGAAAAACTGCAGACATTGTCGCTCTGCCATTCTGCCATTCGGTATTTTGTGTTTTGTCTGACTGGCTGGCTGTGTGTCCTGCTATAATTAAATTATGGCTGGACATAAGACGCATAATAGGTCATAAATCAAATTTACCTATCCCACGGGTCGTGCCGAGCATGACACTCCAGACGGCGTCACAGACACAGTTTGCGATGGCCATCGTTGCACCGAAACAAATAATTATTGTTTTGCCAGTCATATTATACAATATTATGCTTTCAAGTTGAGCAAAAGAGCTGGATATAGAGTTTGAAACGAAAAACTGGAGCATAGAGAAGACCCCTTTGCTGGGTTAATATTTTTCTTGCACTGTATACGGCTGACTGGTAATTTTTGCCTCATTTTGATGGACATTATGACGACTCTGTCTCGGCACACAATAAGACAATTGATGCATCTGCTGTGGCAGATTGTGCCCGTCCCGCCCATTTGAATTTACATCTGTGCCAGCATTTCAATTGCAACTTTGACTCCACCGAACCACAAAGGGGCAGTCCCTCGGTCCGGATTCTGTTTTCCTAACTGCGACTATAATGCCGGACAGTGACTGCAGTTAATGTGTCCTTCTGTCAGAGCCAGCCACACTTGGAATGCATTGCATTTGAAACATATCACAGGCACAACAAGCAAAGTTGCGGCCTACTATGTACGGTGCTCCTTTTTTTGTTTGAAAATTAAATTTTTAGATTAAAGACGGCTTGTTTTCCATTTGCCCGGCGATGCGAAACAAACAAGTGCAGCTGGGCGAGTGGAAAACACAAAAGCAACTTTAAGGTCGCCTTTTTTGTGTTGATTTATCATCACTTTATGCAAATTGACCGCTTACCTTTGAGCTTTATCGCAGCACATCTGTGAAAAGCCCCGGATGAGGGGTTTTCTATTTCTCCGTTTTCCTGCGATTTTCCATGGCAGTTTTCAACCCCGCCGCTGGCTGCCACGTGCGATGTCAATGCCAAGCGATTAACATTCAATTAGCTTTTGGCTCCATCAATGATTTTATCACACAGCCACAGGACCTCGTTGCTGCGGCTGGTTTGAGTGTAAATTGTGGCAAATTATCATTAGCCTGTGTTGGGCACACAAACAAGGAGGAGAGGACTCCAGCCAGGACATCTTCAAAAGGTTTTTATGACATCAGCAGCTGTCGTTGACAGATTATTGTGGCGATTATTTTAGCAGAGCGGCAGGACACACAGGACAGATACCAGATACCAGATACCATATACAAGATACAAGATACAAGATACAAGACGGCAAACAACAAACGGGTTCCAAATGGAATGGGGGCTATTGTGCGTTCAACTGGAAAATGTCAACAGTGTTGTTGGCATTGCTGTTGGCCGCTTTGTCGTCCCTGTTACTCAGCCACATGTGGCAGGACTCGAAGGAGCTCGAGGTCCTCGAGGAGCTCGTCCTCTCTCCGCCACTTGAATATCTTGCGGCTTAGCACTTGTAAATAACTAGCTGAAGTTGGAGGAGTTGTCACACTTTTATCAACACCACTGGCCATGTAGTAAATCCTCCGCGGCACTCTCCTTGGCCTAGTAACAGGTATCTCATAGTCGAGACAATCCGATCTTACTTACTCACTGTATTTCTAGACATGCGAAACTTGTCATTTATTATTTGAATTCCGTTAAAATTCAGGATGTGCGCTTGCCCGCCTTTACTCATTAGGATATCACTGCTGCTGACAATATTTCCCACCATAGTGAGTTGGTTACTTTGCCTATCGTTGAACATATATACCTGATCAAGTCCGCAGGCTACCAATATTATGGAAATAATTGTCTATGGTGTGCATGCGAAAGACGAACACCATGAGATTGCCGCCAACTTAAACCTAATAGCCTGCTTCATTGCACTTATAACATTGATATTTGGAATTTATGGAACGATTATGAAAACACTCTTTGTAATTAGAATGGTAGGTCCCTATTAGGTGCTTCTGCATCAAAAATATTTATATTTTGAGGCCCTTTCAGCAGATGTTCATACTGATATCATTCTGCTTAGTTAAGATAGTCATGTGGATAGTGTGTAAGAATCTGTCCCCACATTTAGCTGCCAACCTCGCCCACGTATGGTTCCAGCTCAACACAGTCTTATCGGTATCAGCCAGTTTCCTGTACATATATTCCGATCAAATAACTGATGTATATCACTCTTCCACAGATAGTGTGTGCGGTTTTGACAGTTCTGTTTTGTATGCGGCTGCATGAGCAAACTCGAGAGTTTCAACTGGGCTTTTAGACTACAAGGATTACAAATTATTTTGCTATTTTCTCAGTTTAATATTCTCAGTTAAAAAATAAATTTACAACACATTTAGTTTATATTTAGCTGTTCATTACTTGTCACTATAATAATCGATGTTGGTGCTCGAAGGCCAGTTTTCCTACTTTAATCTGAAAGTGACCTCAAAGTGCTGATGGAGCTGATGGAGCTGTTGATATCGGTGGGCGTGGCAATTTGTGGGCTGTGTGGGTAATCAAATTACATGCGGAATTATGGACACCCGCAGGACGATAATGGCAGCCAATAAAGATGGCAATGACAAGATAAGCGCCAACAGGAGCAGAGGCGGTGACCCCCGCCGGGGTCATCTGTTGGCTCCATTTGTGCAGCTTTAAATGAAGTTTAACGATGCCCACAAATAATGATACTTTGCATTTAAAAACACTTTTCCCACTCGGTCAGAAGTCAGAGAGCAGAACTGAGCGTCCCCAAGTCCGGTGCTCATTACACGCATTTCACTTGACACTTTTATTGGCAATGGAAACGGAGTATGGAGTGGGGTGGAAAGCGGAAAAGCGGTAAAGCGGTAGAGCGGGTCATTTTATGGCCAAGAACGGATGCCGATAAGGGCATTAAATTTGTTTCAGCCATAAAGACGCTGGCCACATCACTCAGCATTTGGCCAATTACGCAAATAAAAGTACACACCCTTCTTGGCTGGAAAAAAAAAACCGGAATGAAACGTGTCAAAGTGCTGGAAAAATGCAACAGAATTCAAGGATGTGAAGTGGCTCATTAGAGGTGTGTGCGCTGCCCCGAAGCTTTTGGCCGGGAAATTGTGTGGAAAAACACTCTCTAAACTGGCACTTTTATACAGAAATGCTCAAAGCCTTTGGCTATGAACAAAGACCTCTTTTTGTGGACTCCCATTTAAATGCGAACAAAGATATGAATGCCGCAAAAATAAGTATTTCGTTTCTTTTTAATTCCCCCAACTGGCATAATTAAAGACGAGGCCTGATCGGCCGCCGGCGATTCGCATTGGATTGCTGGACTGGAATTTTTGGGGCCATAACAGCATGTCGTCGACGTTGTCGTTGTCCTTGTCGTCCGGGGCGCATGTCCTGCGGCTGATTAAAATCTATTAGAGTCAAAGAGATGTAAGACACTAAGCAGGCGGTGGATGCTCTCCATGCCACCGGGTGGCAAGCCAACCGGCGGGGCGCCCACTTTGTCCAATGACTTGCCATGTAAATGACGACGGCGACGGCTACGCAATTGAAATGCATGCGGCAAAAACTTTCAACTTGTCGAAGAAGGGTATGCGGGGCAAGTGGGCTCACAGAACAGAAAAAAGCTTTCATAATATAATTAATAAACAACTCAATTAGCAGCATAAATATTTCATTCAGAGCCTAAGAAAATGTATTGAAATTTTCATTTATTTTAGCTACATTTATTAGTAGTATTATATTGTTGTTGATACCTATTAAATTCAATGTTATATGTGACTGGTAATGTTATAACAGCTAGTTAGGGTATTTCGAGAGAGGTCTTCGCCCAACTTATTTTTCCCCAACCAAATGTCACGGTTCTTGTTGTTGTCTAAAGTCGCACACAAAAACTTTGCAGTCCAAAGTTTCCAACGGAAATTGTGCAGCTGTTTTGTGTGTGGAATTGAGAGTCTCGTTGGCCCGGTCTTAAATATACTTGTAAGGCAAATTTGTTGAAATATTCATTTAATGGCTGCCACGCCCACTATCTGGCGAACGCCTCCCGCTATCAGCATGTGCAGCGCATGAGCTTTCAATATGATTTTTCATGATTAAAGCGTATGCCGGGTACGTTTTTATCGGTCAAAAGACATTTGCCCAACGATGCCGGAGTTCGATGGGAATTTTCTTATAAATTGTCGCCCCCAACAAATGTGTCCACCATCCCCTCTTCCCTCTCCCCAAAAGAGGGGATGAAAAACACCCACACCCACACACACACGCCGGCGTAATAAAGTGATTTTAAAGGGCACTTTTCCGCACTTTCCTTTCGCCTCGATGGGTATGCGTAAAATTTCCATTTGTGCCAGGCACTCAACTTTATTGAACTTGAAGTAGCGACTGCGATAATGTTTGTCTGATAGAGCAGCGAAGGCACATGTGTGCTGCTCCAAGATGTCCTGGCTTTACAATTCATTAAAATTTCATATAAACACCATGAACAATGGCCGGCGAGCGTAATCCATTTTGCAGCTGCAACAGCACAGAGAACAAAATTTGGTATAGTAGTTAGTAGCTAGTTAAGTTGCAAAAATATAAAAAAAATAAAAACCAAAGACTGTTGTGTTTTAATCATAGCTGCGGTGCCAACTGCTGTCAAGAAATATAATTTGGTATTAATATTGGTGAGCAAAACCAAAATGGCAGTGTGGAAAGTGCTGTGCGCTGTTATTAACTGCTAGTTACAAATGCGCCACAATAACGGTATTAAATGCACTGCGAAAGCGTCAAGTCATAAACAGCTCATCAGTCTTGGGCGGGCGGTAGAGCAGCCGCTCCCATTCGCATTCCGCCCGAACGGTAATTATGCGCAACGCGCGACGCCGCTGCAAAAGTTGTGCTATCACAACTCATTGTCTCGGCGGGCAGGAAGTGCAGGAGGAAGTGGCAGCAACAGCAGCCGGCGGCAAAACATGCCACCAGAAGGGGCAACTTGCGCCTGAAATGCCTTTGCCTTTTGACGCTGATAATGCAATTTCCGCCAAAGACCCCCTCTCCTTTATGCCCACGCCACTGGTGTAATTTACAGCCGTGCAATGTTTCATTTTTGTTGCGTCCTTCGGCCTGGCTCGTCCTTTAAAGCCAACTCAGTCAACGGGGCTAGTTGCGGCTATTTATCTACATAAAGTTAATTGAAAACATTCAAATGCCTGGACGGCTGCGTGATGTGTCAACATCTTCTGATGCCGCATAATCCCACTCCGTTCGACTGAGCCATTCCCATCACCTAGTCCTTGAGCAGCATGAAGATTTCGACTAACGGATATCCAGCCCTTACATTAAAAAAGTAGGAAATATGGTACTTTACACCACATGTCAGCTGAAAGCAAAAGGAGTTCTATTTTAGAAATCAAGAAATAAGGTATGGAATGTTGCACATGCAAAATATTGATAGCAGAACTAACAGCCCTTGCTTAGAGGTATGCCCAAATACAGTATACCCCCTACTTCTTGGAGCACTGGGTATGGCAACAATGAACAATGAAATGAAGGCATTGCGCTTTTTCCCGCTTTTCCTCGCCGTCGTCGTCTTTATTACAAATTGGTTTTGTGCACTCACCACTCGCATGTTTCGTGCGCAATTTGCACCACCGAAATGAATATGGAGCGAGTGGAAAACTCTCGACAAATGTGCTGGGAAAATAAATTGCAGAGCACGCAAAGGTGAGCTGAAGGGGTCGGAAACGTGTCCAACTCGCCACGTTAACGAAGTGAAATCGAAAGTTTGACTGCGGTCAGCGTTGGGCAGTGTCATTGTCTATCGCTTTGCCATTTCACTTCAGATACATATGTATCTAGAGCCCCACCAACTCGTATATACATATCTCCCCCAGCTGGCTGTCAGATTGAATGGTTTATGTGTGACACCTTTGACCGGTCACCGAGGTGTTTTTCTGGCACAGGTTTTCCCCGCGGTCAGACGATATAAATTAAATTGCACCTGCAAGCCGGGCAAACTACTATCGTCGGCTTAAAATCACAGAAGGACGTTTGTTGCCACACGGTATCTGAAGAATACCTAGTAATAATTACAAAAATGCTAAGCTCTTTAGTTAGTCACACATTTAAAACACCCCTGAATCATGGTAAATTTTAAACATAATTTCAAGTAAAAATACTTGTATTTTCTGTTCATAATTTGTATCCTCCTTATCTTGAATAAATGAAGAGCGAATTCTTTAATTTCCGGTCAAGCTATAAATTTGAATAAATTTTCCATCTAAAAAATGGCCCACCGTCAATATCCCACTTTCAAATCGACTTAGTTTTTCAAAAAACGATTATGCCGGCTTAGCTCAACACTGAAAATCCTGTTGCCTGATTTCCGGATTTCATTTTCTTTATTTGCCCAGCAGAAGTCACGTGGCATTCATAATTCTTAAAACGACGCCATCAGAAATTATGTAGCAATGCTAAGTGCACCCAAACAGCTGTCCCCCACTTTTCCAGGGGGAAAATTTACGTGACCAGCATTCGTCGCCCCAAAATGCTGGGATTTTCCCTATTTTTATATTTTCTTTTTGGGCAGGACAGTAGTAGTGTAACAATGGGAATTGATTTCGGGTTTTGGCCAAGTGCAAGCTGATTATGGAATTAAAACATATTTCTTTGCTCTGGCGAGCTTAAAACTTTAAGTGGCAAAGGTTGTCGCTGGGCTTCTCAGTACGTGACATTCTTTTGCTTTCCGAGTTTATCACGTGACAAGTTTTCCAGTTTTGCGCTTATTCTCCGCACACACCCATTTTCATTTTCATTGTGCGATGAAAAAATAACTTTTCATGTGTACATGTGTATGTGCGGGAAAAGGAAATGAATAAGCAAACGAAACTACAAAGAAGTTAACTACAAAAGCGGGTCTGTGGAAAGTGAACTTGGGTTACAAAGGAGAAAAGATCGTAGGAGTTTTGGAGGGCAGGAAAAACGCAGATAAATAACATTGAATGTGGAAACACAAGGGAAACACGAAAAAATAAACAATACGCCTTTTGAAATGCTAAACGTGCCGCACTCACACACTAACACGCAACGCACACATACGTCTAGAGCCAAAAGCGTTTTTCACACATTTCACAAGGACGCTTCGCAGGACTCGTGTCCGTGTATTTTTATTAGTACACCAACCCGCATCCGTGAGATACTCCGGCATCAGTTTATCTTGTTACTTGCCACCCGCTCAGTGGCAAAAACATTTATCTTGTCGTATTTATTTTGTAGCACATTAATTTCGCTTCGTGTTTCATTCGAA